GCGTCGGGGACATTTTGTGCGGGTGGTGGCGGGGGGAGGCGGCTTGCGGCCCGCCGAGGTGGTGGCCGTGAGGGACCGGAGGGACGTGGGAGTCTATGCCCCGCTGACACGCCACGGGACGCTGGTGGTGGATGGCGTGGTGGCCTCATGCTTCGCCCTGGTGCAGGAGCAACATCTGGCACAGCTGGCCTTCTGGCCGCTCCGGCTTTACCACAGCCTGATGGGGTGGCCAGGGGTGCAGGGGGATGGTGTGCACTGGTACTCAGGGCTTCTCTATCACCTGGGCAGGCTGCTCCTGCCCCCTGACAGCTTCCACCCGCTGGGGGTACCCCAGGCAGAGAGCTGAGGGTGCACCCCAGCCACAGACAGTGCTGTTGGTGGAGGTGGTGGCTGCAGGGCAACTCACCGGGGGCCAGCACCCCCTCCCAAAGCTGGATGTCCATGGGCAGCTGCCTCCAGCCCTACCTGCTTGGGACACAGCCACCTCGTGGTTGGGGGGCACTGGAGCTACCCAGTGTGCTTCCTCCATGCTCACTGATCATTCCTCACCCCCTGTTCCTGGGGGTAGGTGGGAGGCACAAAGGTTGCCCCCAGACATGGGGGTCCCCCCGGCTGGATCCACATGCTGCTATTTGTGTGTATGCGTGTGATGTGCGTTTGTGTGTGTGCAGAATTAGCTAATGACAGAGGTCTGATAGATGAGGTGGAGTGGGAAGAGAGCCCCTGGCTGCAGGCTGCTCCTGCATGCATCGGAGGGTGGGCAATGCTATTTCTGACCCTAGGACATGGCAGCTGTGTGATGGGTGCCTTCCCTTAGCTCTGACAGCCACTGCAGGGGGGCACCCCAAACCAGTCCCTGTATGCCTGGAATGCCCAAGCACCAGCCAGGCTGGAGGGGCAGACACGGCTCTAGCGTGAGTCCTGTGATTTGGTGACATGAGGGCTGCTGGAGTGAGAGACTGCGAGTGAGACCTCGAGCTCTGCCCTAAGCCACCACTAAAGCCACTCAGCTATGCCCATGGGGATGTTGTGACCACACAGAGGGTTCTGGCTGGCAAGAGGGGGCTGCAGAAGCAGGCATGTGGGCAGGAGGATGTGAATGCCAAACAGTCATGGGCACACACTGGTGTGAGCAGGGGTAGGGAGAGCTGAGGCTGCAGCCCCAGCCTGTCAGAGCCAGGAGAAGGAAAGTGGATGGGGAGAAAGTGCTCCCTGCCTTGCCTTCCCAGCATCCCACCCTCAGCTGCTTCAGCCCAAAGCCATGCCTTTCCCACCCCAAAGCTAAACAACTCCCCAAACTCCAGACCCTGCCTGTCCTGACCTCCCTGACCCCCCAACACCCCGAACCCTCAGGGTAACTCATTGCTGCTCACCTGCTCCCGGGACCTGGGGGGGAGTCACATGAGAGCTGCAACCATGGTGTCCCCCCCAAAAAAACCCTAGCTAGAGCCTCAGCCTCCCCTGGCTCCTTGCTAGCAGAGGTGAGGGGGCTGGGGCGGGCTGTGACCTGCATGCCCCCCTGCAGCATCACACATCTTTATTTATTTATCTGCTCGTTGTATGTACCATAGATGGGAGGCAGCGTGGGCACATGCAGGGTGAGGGGGGAGAAAGCTGTTTGGTTGGGGGGGGGTGATTTTATTTTTTTTTTAACAAAAAGCAGAAATTATTTAAATATTATTTTTAAGCACAGTTTTTATGGTGATTGTTGTCCAGGACGAAGTGAGAGAGCGCGAGCGTGGCCGATGGCAGGTGTATTTTTGTCTCTTCACTGGATGTACCTTTGCTGGTCGGGGACACAGCCCAATAAATCCATCATCTCCCAGGCAGGGGCTCTGAGCTCTGGTATGTGGAGGGCAGGCAGGGATCAGGGGTGCTTACTGCCCATCATAAACAGGGCAGGAAGGGCTAGAGGCTGTCTTGTGCTTTTCTGGGAGCAAGCTTTGGCCACCACAGTGCTTGCCACTGGTTAGAGTGAGCTGTCCCTCCCCACTCCCCCATACCCATGGGAGGTGGGCAGCCGGAGGCTGTGGGAGTGACCCAGCCTACGTGGAACCAAGCTGTCACTGGGGCCACCTGAAGACTCACCTGAAGGGTGAGTGGGGCAGGATGTAGGAGGGACAGCCACCTTGGGACTGCTGGAGACATCTCTTCATCTGGGTCTGGGCCCATCGCCCCAGCACTTGGCTGTACTGGGTCACCCTTCCCTACCACCTCTGTCACCACAGCATCCACTAACCCAGTGCTACGGGAGATGATGGACCCTGTACACTGTGTTTCCAATGTCAACAGCACTAGTCACTGCTGGCTCTGTCCCCATTACAGCTCTCTTCCCCCTGCACCCCATCCCGTAACAGCAAAACGGAAGACAACCAGCCAGCCCCCCTGCCCCAGCCTCCCCATTCCTGTCCCATGCACCCCTCTGTGCATCCCCTGCCCCATTTGCAAGCTGCCCTGCACTGGAGACCTGGGGGACTGGAAGCAGGGTCCCCACAGGGCTTTCCCTGGATCCCACAGCATGGCTACTGCAGAGCAATTCAGCAGCAGGCTGTCAGCGAGGGCCCTCATCACCGTGGCTAATTTAAGGGCTTTGCGAGGCGGCTGAGCTAATTTAATTAGGTTCTTATTACAGAGAAGGACAAATTGGTCCCTAGGGGGGCCACAGGGTCAGGCTTTCGAGAGGCACTTTATGGAGTGAAATTTCAATCAGGCTGCCATCACAGGCACTGCAGGGGGAGCCAGAGGCAGGGGATGCAGGTGAGAGGATGTGCCCTTTGGGGTGCTCCATAGTGCTGTCGGCAGCCCATCTCCAGGCCCAGGATTTTATGGTAGCAGTGAGTATGGGGGGACATCTCTTGTAGGAAGATTCTGCTGAGTATTGTGAGGATGCTTTGGGGTGAAAGCAGGGAAAGTAGTGGCGTCCTGGCTCTAGGTTGGCCCCAGGGCAATGAAAGGAAGGAGGGACACCCCTAAATAAGATTCTGGGATCTTTCTTAGGCCCTGTTAAATCCCCCCTAGCTCCTTAAAGCAGCGTGGTGAGGATGGTGAGAACTCCAGCCGAGAAAAAAGATTTACAGATTTTATCCTTTCTTCCCTGGATGTCCCCCTCCTCTCTTGTTACAAAGCCTCAGGAAGCCGGACCTCCTTGGCACCTGAAAAAGCCCCATCTCCCAGGGTGCCAGTCCCGGGCAGGGATTCCCACCAGGATCCCGGCTGGGTGGTGATGGATGAGGATGCTGGTGGGTGGCCGGCAGAAGGGCCGGACTGGAGGGTATCACAATGGATGTCTCTCCATCAATTTGTCCTCATTACCATGTGAATGGTGGGCGGCAGGGAGAGGAAGGACATGTGGCGGCAGGACAAACCCCCCACATGCTCCCATCTGGGGTAGCGTGTGCCCTCCCCCGATCTCCCCAGCCCTGTCTGAGCGTGTTAAACCAGCGCGAACACTCCCCCGGCCCCAAATTCAGAGGAGGAGAGGTACCACCCCCTATTCAGAGCCTTGAAAAGGCTACAGTGTCCAGCGCTGTTAACAAGGGGCGACACTGTCCCCGTCCCCGCCTCTCCCGTCTGTCCCTCGCCGTGTGCCCTTCTGCCGTGGCAGCACCCGCCCCCG